TTCAAACTAGATTGACCAATCCTTCTGAGTCGTTGTTGAGCAATCATGAGGTTGAACACGGGGCAAAGGGGAACAAGAGCAACAGGAGGAGAAGGAGAATCAGAGCACTTCAACTTGGTCACCATCAGACTCGGGACAGTAAACAAGCGCTTCCTGGGAGGCAACCCAGAGATCTGAACTGTGGTTTTATGTGCTTTTCAGTTACTTGTGTTTTAGCTTTTATTATGATTGTGTTATAATTGTATGCTATACTTGTTTGTGGGACTTTTTTTGTGATTGTTTATGTTCTGTGATATGTATGTTGTATTGTGTTGTGCTACATGTGTTTTGTGTTAGGTATTAATTGTGTGAATCTTGCTTGAGTGGGTTAATATAGATTAGAATATGTTAGGAGTGTGAGGAGTGGCAAATCTAGGTGAAAGCTTCACAGAGTTAGCCACGTCGGGCGCGACATAGCCACGCCCAGCGCACCTAGCATAAATTGGTCTCTGCCAAGACCCACGCCGGGCGCAATTTCTATTGGGCCCGGCCCAGCCTTCATTAGAGCCCCTGGAATGACCAAGCCCGGCGCATTTATTGGGGCGCCGGGCGCATTAACTACTGGAAGGTCTGAGCCTTAAATACGCCGGGCGCGTATCTGCCCAAGCCCAACGCATTGAATGCTTGCACGTTGTAACCCTAGATAAGCCCGGCGCGAAACGGCAGCGCCCGGCGCGACACCAGATAAGGGGAAACTCTTGGGCTTCTACTGATATGGCGCCTAACGTGGGGAATTGCAAGCCCGGCGCACCCCTTCAGATGCCCCATAACCCCTCACGCCCACTCTCCCACTCTTCACTTTTCCTCTTCCACGTTCCCACTCTCAATCTTTTCAACTTCTCAACTCCCTCTCATCTCCCACTCTCTCTGTTACCTCAACTTCTCATCTCCCAAAAGCCTTCTTCCCTCTCTCAACTCACTCTCACAATCTCAACTCCTACTCTCCCTACGCTCCTCGAACCCTCTTCCTCACTCCACACTCATCTTCTTCTCAAGGGCGCGCATTCGCTTTCTCCTTTCCTTCCAAGAACTCCTCATTCAAGTAGGTTTCAAACTTCTTGTTTTATTTTCTTGTATACCCTATTTTTTATCTTTTTTCTTGTATCATGTTCGACGTAAATTTACGTCGGTTAAGCACATACCTAACGTAAATTTACGTCAAATGTGGCACAGTCCAACGTAAATTTGTGCGTCTTTCTTGTGAATGTTTGGCAACAATTTTACGTTGGTACTTGGCGAGGGCCGACATAAATTTACGTCGGCTATCACAACTGACGTAAATTTACGACTCCTGTATAGGTGTCGATCATTTTTACGACGTAAAAATCCTAAAATAACATACGTAAAATACATCTTTTGCACTAGAGGTATTAGTAAAAATAAGGATATTAATTTTATATTTATGAGTTTGATATTGCAAGTTTTTTTTAATAAATTAATAAAAAGTTTTAATTGATTAAGGAAAGAAGGAGAAAATGAAGTAACAAGATCAGAACTAGAGCTGTTATAACGGGTCACCCAGCCCGTCCCACCACGGGTTGGTGGGTTAAACGGGTTGGCTTACCTAATTTAAGCGGTGGGTGGGTTAAGCGGTGGCTCGCAATGGGCTCACGATGCATGCCACGACTCGCGGTACGCACGGTGGCTTGCGGTGGCTCGCAACTCGCTATGCGTGGTGGGCACGGTGGCTCGCAGCTCGCGGCTCACGGTGCGTAGTGCGGTGCGATGTGGTGCAATGCGGGGTGGTGGCAGTTGGTGGCTAGTGCAGTGTGGTGGCAGTTGGTGGCTGGTGCGGTGCAGTGTGGTGGCAGCAGCTATGGTTGTGGCCGTTGTGCTATGCGGGTGCGGAGTGCGGACTGATGAGATGAGGGTGTGAGAATTGAGAAATGTGAACTGCGAACTGAGAACTGAGAATTGAGAACTGAGAGTGAGAGTGCATCAACCTCAAACGGTCAAACCCTAATTTGGCCCAATAACATAAGTATACGTTCCTTTTTATTACGGGTTGGTGGGTCAGCTTGGCTCACCACGAGTTCAACCCGGGTGAGCCGGGTTCAAAATTGGCCCGTATTGAAATTTTCAATTTTTTTTGGCCCAACCCGGCTCGAACCCGTGAGGGCCGGATTGGCTCACCGGGCTGAGCCCATTTTGACAGCTTTAATCAGAACACATCACATTTGTGACTCACTAGTCACGCTTGTGATGTAAGCCAACATATGCGAACTTCAATTATTTGAACTTCTTGCCCTATCATATCATCATATTTCAACAAAAGTGATTATCCAATCAATAAAACCATAGATTAAAATACTAGATCCAGTATATTAAGTCACCAATTAAATATCCTTACATCCAAAACATCATTATAACTTACTAATTTAGTTTACTTTATCCTTGGGGTTCCCACAAGAATCACAAGCACTTGGAAATTCATAATTACATCAATTAATTAACACACGATTGAATACAATACCAATATCATTCATTATGAATAAAGCATATAAGAAAAATAGGGAACACATATTCACAGTGGAATTGGGACTACTTCTCCCTTATGCCATACAACCACAGAGAAGAGATTGGGAACTAATCTCACTACCTTATAAATATCTCACACCTTAGAGGGGAGACTACTCACTCCTTATTACCTTGATAAGCAATTGCTAACAAATGCAAACCTCTAGGGTGGTCGCATTCTAGATCTCCCAACAATTCCTTAGTTTCTTCAAAGTGTAGAGGGTAGAGTGTGAGCGTGTAAATAAAAAATGTAAACCTGTTACACTCACAATCCTAATTCAAACAATTCCTACCCTTATTTTCCTTTAAATAAAATATAATCAAATAACCTACAACCTAAACTATATTTTCCCAATACAGTTAATTATAAAATTAATATATATATATATATATATATATATGTATATATATATATATATATAAAAATTGATAAATCTAGGATATATATTTAATATATATATATATATATAATTAAAAATAACTACATTATTTCTCAAAAAACACCCTTAATCAATTAAAACCTTTTATTAATATATTAAGAAAACTTGGATATTAAACTACTTCTCACTAAAATTCACAGCTCCTAAACTTGAATCTCCAATTTAGCTACTCAAATTCTTCCTTAGGGAAGAATCTAGGTGCTCTAGGTGAAGTCAAAAAAAGAAACGATCTTCTTTGACTCCAAAACTTATCTCTCTAAAACTTTTTCTGTCGAATTCATGGAAATAAACTTATAAAGTTCAACTTCTCTAAAAACTTATATATCTTCCTTAAAACTTGGTTAATTAACTTTGACATCAACTTAAACAACTCAAAACAACTTAACTCTTAAGGATTTCATGACCTTTAGAGTTTTGAAAACAACAAAAATTACAACATAACATCATATAAAACAACATATATCATATAGTCATACAAGAAACTGATAAAGCTAGCACATATTGTTACACATCACTACAAGGATAAAATTATTCACAACCACCATTTGTAATATGTCTTTTCGTATCTTAATCTTCTATGATGCATATATAGTTCTCACGGCGAATGTGAGAAACTAACATTCTTGAGTTAAAATAAAGTTTTAATGTAGTAAAAATATTATATTACCTTTATTTTCTTATTTATTACGGTAAAAATCCTTGGTTTCATAAATTCTTAATGTCAATGCAATAACACTTTTTATACGTTACTTATTTCATTAATTAACTTTGTTTTCATAATTTTTTTTAAACATTTTCAAACACAATTTTCTATTTATTTAACAAAATTTTGAATTTATTTTATATTTTTCTCACTACTTTTCTACAGATTTTTTTTTTAGAAAAAAATATGATTGTTTCCTTTAATTTGTTGAAAAATTCATAGATTTTTCCTTCGTATTTTAATACAATTTTTGTTTTTGTATATAAAACTTTATAGTTCAATTTGCTTGATAAAATGTTTGTTTTGTATAATAAAACCTAATGTTTTCTTGTTAATTGTTTTTATAAAGTAACTTCAGACATTTTTCTTACAAAAAATATTTTTTTTTCTCCAATTTGTTTGATAAAATGTGTTATTAATAAAGTAAAAAATGTATATCATAATATCATAAAGATACTATAATAAAGTAATTAATATTTCATAATATTATTAAATAATTTATTAAAAATTATATTATCAATATTATTACATTTAAATTATACATTATATGATTCTGATTTGGCCCCTCCAAAAAATTTTCTCAAGCTCCCTGCCAATTTCTACTTGCATCATCTTCTATACAGAGCACATGAATCTTATTTTTTTTCATCCAAGTAATGTATCAATAAGATAGTATAAATAACAATATATACAATAAGCAGGAGAAGTGCCCAATAGTTGCTAAAGACTATCTGAAATAGAAATCATTCCACACATAAAGCAAAAACAAACCAGCCGACTCCACATACAAAATTAACCCTACCCAACCATTTGTCATTTGTAGATAATGAAATTATTATACCAAAGTTAATGAAGGAATATGGTTAATTAAACTGTTTTCCTTTTGGAACCAAAGATTAATTCCCTTGCTTTTGTTCCTTTTCTTCTTTGGTTAAATTCCAATTTTATTCTATATTGTAGGTGAACGTGTTGATACCATTGTTTTGTTGTTTGTGCACTTCGTTAAATTCAAGCTTCTTCTTTTTTTTTTTTGCTGTGTTCTTTTAATTGGTTAGAGAGTACACAAAATGGAGGTCATACTTTTCTTGTGTGGAATGACTTATTGGGATAATTTCCTATTATTTCACATTAGTTACGTTATTCACTTGTTATCCTACTACTCTATATCATTCTTCAGGAAAGACAGTAACTCAATATACCATTTACTCTTCTCTCTCTTCTATGTTACAATTTCTTAATTTTATTTCTTTAACTTCTGTTAAAACAGATGATATATATATAAGGATTATCGTCTTAATTATGACCATCTTCATAACAAGAGAGAAAAACAATACGAGTTCAAAGGCCAAATCTTCGTAAATGGCTTTTCGCGTCAGTCAACCTTTTTTCTTTGGAATTATATGCATTGCTTTGGTCTTGATTTCAGGTAATAAATAGAGAAAAAGCAATGTAATGGCTTTTATTCTTTAAAATATCAATTAGATGAAATAAAAAGGCTGAAAAATATTACTCACATGCATATATGTTTTTGACAAGATCACATAATCATTAATTTCATATCATTGATAATTAAGCTGATTTGTATTTTGTGTAAAGCAATGAGCTATATATGCATAAATTTATGAACTTCGTTGTAGGACCGGTGACAGGGCCGGTACAATGGTTGTTTGGACGAGCAATCACTCAGGATTCATGTATAAGAGGGGTCTAATTGAATATATATATATATATATAATAT